AGAGGAAAATTATATTATATTAAAACAAAGTATAAGTAATGTGCGTATATTGTCTGTCTTTCCCGTAATAATTACTGCACTAACTGTACAATTAATCTTTTATTTATTTTCTGTAGTGACACAGTATAATTTATAAATAGAGAAATATATGTATAATAATACATACCCAAACTTACGGTTTGGCAATTTCAACGTCCATTTCAATTTCGTTTCCTATATTATAAGTTTTGTTTCTTTCTTCTTTTTCTATTACAAAACTTTGTTCTTGTATATTCTCTACTTCAATTTCTTTCTCCTTTTCTGTAACTACTTCTTTCTCCGTTCCTATCTCTATTTCCATTTCTGTCTCTGCTTCTCTGCAAGAAGATTTCAAATTACATGAGTACATTTATATTACTGAATTAGCAGTAGTACATCAGACATAGTCCGACATCTAAAAGATGTGTTAGTAACATTGTTAAGACGTCGCCAAATGTTTATATAATTTATTGTGACAAAAGCAATCAAAAGTAAAATAAAATTGATAATAATCTATATAACTGTTATTATAATAATTATTAAATTACATTATTTTAGAAGATAATTCCAAATCTTTTCCAAATCTTGTTGGTACGGCATCTGGATGAAGAACTCTCCTGGTACTGATCCTAAACCATTTCTCCTCGAAATGTGAAGAGCATAACACAATTTCTGAAAGAATATTCTGGACCTTTCTCTTCTAAATCCAGTCTTCCACTTGCTCGTACCCATTGCAACCATCTGTTTTTATAATATATTAATGAAAAAATATAAAGCAATATTGCAAACTAAAAATATTTTTATAAAGTCATATGGTAAACCTGTCATGTTCTTTTGGAAATCTAAATACATGTCTTCTTTCCAATTGAAGATTTCCGGGACATCCTCTTATTGAGCATTTCTTAATATTTTTCCCGCTCATTTTCTTGTTGAAAATCTGTTTTCTTCTTAGCAGCACCTGAAACAGAGCTAAGATCAAAGTGTTTTCTGCAAAAGAATTGAAAATCTGTACAACATATGAATGTACGAGGTCTGTTGAAAAAGTATCGCGAATTTTGTGTTTTTTCAAAAATTATTTATTTATTCATGAATATCTATGTTGTCCCCTTCAAAGTAATCCCCATCAGATATTATACACTTGTGCCAACGTTTTTCCAATCTTCGAAGCACTTCAAAAAATCCTTTTTTGTGATCTTGTTCAGCTCCTCCTTCGATGCCGTCTTTATCTCCTCAATCGTGGCGTAGCGTCGTCCTTTCATGGGCGTCTTCAGTTTCGGGAACAAGAAAAAGTCACAGGGGACCAGGTCTGGGGAATACGGTGGCTGCGGCATCATTAGTGTGTTGTTTTTGGCCAAAAATTCGCGCACAAGCAACAATGTGTGAGCAGGGGCGTTGTCATGATGCAAAAGCCAATTTTTGTTCTTCCACAAATCCGGGCGTTTCTGGCGGATTGCTTCGCGCAAATTGCGCATAACTTGCAGGTAATATTCCTTATTGACCGTTCTACCCTGTGGGAAGTACTCATGATGCACCACGCCCCTGCAATCGAAGAAAACTGTAAGCAAAACCTTCACATTCGACCGAACTTGGCGCGCTTTTTTCGGTCTTGGCTCGTACGGCAGCTTCCATTGGGATGATTGAGCTTTGGTTTCCACGTCATAACCATAAACCCATGATTCGTCACCAGTTATGACCCTCTGGAGCAAATTAGGGTCGTTGCGGTCAGAGTCCAACAGCTCCGTAGCAATGTTAATGCGATGCTGTTTTTGGTCGAAAGTGAACAATTTTGGTACGAATTTCGCGGCGACCCGTCTCATGCCCAAATCATTGGTAAAAATCGAATGGCACGAGCCAAAACGATATGTTTAGGTCCTCAGCAACTTCTCTAACGGTGATTCGACGATTGGCCAATACTATTTTCTTCACTTCATCAATGTTTTCGTCTGTTATTGACGTGCTCGGGCGTCCGGCACGCTCTTCGTCGTTCACATCTTCTCGGCCCTCTGAGAACATTTTGTACCACCGATAAACGTTGCTTTGGTTCAAGGTAGCTTCACCATATGCCACAGTCAACATTCGGAATGCATCCGCGCACTTAATTTTGTTTTTCACATAAAATTTGATACATATTCTTTGATCCATTTCTTGGAATAGGCAAAAATCGAAGACGAGCCAAAACACGTCCAAGCAAAATAGCTGTCAAAAATTAACTGAACATTCAAAATGCCGAACTTGTCAGCATGAGTGAGGGACATGAGTACCAACATAACGCCACAAAAAATCGAAAATCGAATATACGTAGCCCGCGGAAATTCAAAATTCGCGATACTTTTTGAACAGACCTCGTATACAGATCTACAATTCTCTTTAAGGTTCAATGTCACTTCCTTTTTTTACGTTCACTGCACTCCACTTCACTTCTCTTCACTTCACTTTCACAAACTTGCAAGACGTTTTCAATATGCTAACAGACTAGCTAATGCCGCCAAATTTTACAAGGGGGTTATGAGAAAGAGCGAAAACAGAAAGAACGAAAACAGAAAGAGCGAAAACAGAAAGAGAAAACGAGAGGAAAGTTGAGATGGCGCTACTGTATGAAGTGGCTCAACTTGCGCATGCGCGCTGCGATTTTGGCTTCACATAATCAAGGGAGTTGCGCTACTGTATACTGTGACTACAGCGTGCATACAAAATTTCAAAAGTTTTAGGTTTTAGGTTAGGTACTAATATGCTAGTTATCAAATTATAAACACAATTAATACAAAGGAATAACGAACCGGAAAACATAATAACGTCTCCTGTATATTGTTTTTTCTTGTAATAGAACTGAACAGTCTCTCCTTTTTCACCGTTTCGTCGTCGATAATGACATCTTCGTCATTTACCATGCAATATGACTCGCCTTCGTCGCACTTCAAAAGAAACATTCTTTCATCCAAAACGATCTGAAAAGCACAATCACAGAATCCGTAAGTACTTTCAACGAAAGCAGGTCTAAGTATAACCGGAGATCTTAGCGACATTCGTACCGCGAGATGCACGAGATGCGAGCGCGGAAGCACGAAAACGTGGTTTCGACCATATGACTTGTGAGTACATGTGAGTGCATGCGAGACGCAGAAAATCGCGCGTTCTGTGCGCCTGCGCAATGGAAGCCTCACGTCCCTGACACTCGACGAAAAACCATCGAAAAACCACTCGATCATCGGTATCGTTATAGTTGTATACATATAACTATAAATATATTCGTCTATGATAAATATTAATAAATATATGAACAAATATATTTTATGCGATTTTTATTTAATATATTGTTGCGCTCCGCGCGAGTCTTCGCGCTCACCGTTCGCGGTGTCTCCGCGCTCACCAGTCGCGCACTCGGTTCTAGAGGGTGCCGGCACTCCTCCGCGCACGTACGCGTCAAAGAGATACACCAGTTAGAAAGAACAGGAACTTTATTGGAATTAACACGTCAACACGGCTCGAGAGCCAAGCTTCAAATCTATCGATTGATTTCATTAACAATAGTTGCCGATCGGTATCGTGGCAACCCGCCACGATACCGGGCGCCGCTTTCCGTTAGTGAACAGGATTCCTTGCGAGCGTAACACTGCCCCCCTCCTCTCCAGATTGTCGTCCCGACAATCAGAGGGGGAACAGTTCTCCAACATTTTCCTTGAAGACTCCAGGGGCAAGACAGGATTACAATCATTCTTCCCTACGGGATAGTCCCCAACCGGATTTTCCTGGGGAAGGTGATCAGTCTTCCCCCAGCGGCTCCAGGGCGACTCCTTCCCACGGCAGTCTTCTTTCTTGTGGAACTGCATCGCAACACAAAAATCCGTCCTTTTCTGAAGTTTT